GCAGCAATCCACTCACCTCAGCCTCCCAAAGGTGCGGGATTACAGGCTGAGCCACCGAGCCCAACTTGGTTTCTGTTTTATTTTTATTCTTTAGGATCATTTTGCTTTATTTTTCTTCTTGATGTGCTTTTTTTGTTTTGTTTTGGGGGGTTTGTATAATATAAGGGGTACAAGTGCAGTTTTGTTACATGGATATATTGGGTAGTGGTGAAGTCTGGGCTTTTAGTGTATCCATCCCCTGAGTAGTGTACATTATACCCATTAGGTATTTTCTCACCCCTTACCCCACCCGTCACCCCTCATCCTTCCAATTCGCCAATGTCTATCGTTCCACACTCTGTATCCATGTATATACATGATTTAGCTTCCACTTATAAGTGAAAACATGCAGTATTTGATTTTCTGTTTCTGAATTGTTCCACTTAAGATAATGGCCGCCAGCTCCATCCATGCTGTTGCAAAAGACATGATTGCATTCTTTTTTATGACTGAGTAGTATTTTGCTTTTCTTTTAATGTGAAATGTTGACATTTTCTAAAGTCAAAATTATAAACCAAGATACATTCAGAGAAGTCTAGAGTGGTGTTCCTTTATTTTTCTGATAATTCCATTTGGAAATATAAGTGCATAGCATAAATATTCATATTTATATACACATATAAAAGATAATCTATTATATTCTTTTCTATACTTTGAACAAGTTTCTCATATCCATAACTGAAGATTAGATGAGAGCAGAAAAGACCTGCTATCCTAGAATTGACTTTGTTGCACTTTATAGTGTTTCACACAGCCATTCCAGTCCCTGGGATACCTTGGGGCAGAGGGAGACCAAGCGGGTAGCTGACCAGAACTCTGGTACCACTGTTACTACTTCAATCAGAGAAGTCACATTTCTGTTACACATATTTGGCATCCACATCAAATTTGGTCTGAAAAATAGTTCCCACTACTAAAAGAAAAATCTTAAGAAAGAATGAACACAAGCCAATCATCAGTCCAAATCTGCTGATCCTGACCTCTGGGAGGCTGCTTGGAGACCACATGCTTCATGATTAATTTTATTATGATGGGCTAACCTTATTGCTTGGAGTTGTTCAAAATTGAGTCCCAAGAAATCCTTGTGTCGGAAAAATCTACATCCATCCAATAGTAGAGCAAAGGACCTGATAAAACATTTTGTCCACCTTTTCATTTGAGGGAATCCCTTATCCACATTTATGAAATGTCTTTAACTCTGATTAAAGGATAAGAAAACATGAACAAAAAAAATTGAAGAGACTACTAGAGATTGAAGCAAACTGTCATTTTGCTTGAGTACTTGTATATAAACCTAATTGTGCATTCCAGATTGGGTATAAATTAACTCAAGAATTTGCAACCCCAGTGGAAAATAGGAGTGGAGGCTGACTTCGTTTTGTTATTGGCTATCTCCTCCCTCTGTCCCCTGGAAAAACCACTCTTGATTGTGCAAGTTAGCAGGCAGTGGGCACACACTCCATGCACACGCATGTACACACACCACACAAATACAGCCTCCCTAGAGGTATCATATATTGGTACACAGTAGGTGCTCAGCAACAATTTTTTTTTTTTTGTCTGTTCCTCCACTGGCTGGATGAAGAGAGATTTCTTATTTTGTTTTTTATTTTAAACATGTGGGGTATAATTCAGGGTTAGGTATACAAATGTTCATTATGCAGGTACTCTTGTTGATGAGGTGTGCTCCCCACTCCCCTGGCAGTTTCCCACTACTACCTATCCCACACCTGCCCTCCCCTGGCAGTTTCCCACTACTACCAATCCCACCCCTGCCCTCCCCTGGCAGTTTCTTACTACTGCCAATCCTTTTCTTATGGTATTATAATAGTAGTAACTATTTTTAGAATGAATAAAGAATGTAAATATGTCTCTCTATTTTAATGAACCAAGTGGATAGGCTCAATCACTGTTAAAAGATTGTCAATCTCGGTCCCAGGCCTATTGCAAAAGTGATGTCAAAGTATGGGTAGCATTTGCCCCATAGATAGGTTCCATCTTCATATCATAGGGGCCAACAGGAAGTTTTTCTAGGTATTTCTTCTCTGATGCTTTGAAACCCAAAGTGTATCTATGGGACTTGTGGCATAGCTGTAAGAAAGCCCTTTATGAGGTCATCATCCCCCACTTGCCAGATCTCCCCAGATGAAAATCTACGAGCTTTTAATAAACACTTGAGAAGTCACCATGCCTCACTTTGCAAACTCTCTTTTAAGAAGCATCATAAGCAGAAGTCAGTTTGATAGCATCAAGAGAAAGCAATGTCTCCAATATCTAAAAACCCTGAGAACGCTGCAATATGATGGGTTTAAGACCATCTATCTTGGTGAAACAGAAATCTCAGAAAGTCTTGTAACTGGAGAAGAACTTGGTGGTGGATATTTCATGCAAACTCCAACTTGGTGTATTGTGCATGCTGGGAGTAGTCAAGGATGGGTGCCTTGGAAATACCGGATGTTCCTGAGAGATGAACTCTGTATCAAACATGAAGACAACCTCTTCTTCGAGTTCTGTGATGTGGTAAGGAAGGCCTATGGGAAGTGTGCCATCGTGGTCAAAGAGAGAAGGCAGCAGGAGGAGTTGAGGCCAAAGGAAGACAGAGAGGCTGAGACCCAGCCCTGTGTCCCGATAGTCATGAACTTAACAAGCATCATGTGTTGCCCTGAGGTGGCCAAGGCCTGCGGCCATGAACTACTCTCTCTGCCTTCCCCTTGTAATTACCTGAATCCTTTAGATTCAGCCTGGTCTTCTCTAAAATGGTTTATCATCAATAACAGAAAAGAGTTTTGTTTGCAGTCCATTGATAATGTCTATTCTTACCAGTATATACTTTTCAGTCATTTAATTAGCAAAGGGATTGAAAGGATAAACCCAAGCAAGTGGAAAATACTAACTAACAAGGTACGAAGATGGGAAAACTACTACCTTGGAAAATTTTCTTAAGGATGATTTCACCAATAAGTAGCAAGACTCTGTTATGTGTCTGGTCTTTACTACCAACTCTACTGAGCTCAATCCCAGAACACTGATGTCAAAGATACTTTGATAGTGACCTCACAGGGGCGCTGTGAAGACTGTGAGGTTCCTCGGGGTATTGGTAAAGTGCTTTGAGTGAACTGGACGTTTCATTAAAGTTTGTTGGTAAATTAGGGGTCTTGACTCTCATCTTGTTAAGGAAACTTTCAGGGCTATGACCATGGGAGGATTAGGATTAATCCAGCCCCAAGGAGGATGGTGGTGAGCAGGGGTGAGCAAAGCTAAAGGTTGGATGGTCAACATTTAGATCTGAGAAAAAAAGAAAACCAGGGTACAGTCACACCAAGAAAGTCCAAATTAAGTGGTATGCCAATTAAGTAGTGTTTCAGCCTATCAGAGTAATCTGCAAGGAATCAGCTTGCCATTAGCAAGAGACATTGTCCAGATGGTGGCCAGATGACTCTTTCCTCCATATGGTCTTCCTCATCAGCAAGAGGAAGAGTGGAGAGGCATTTGAGGAGATGAAAATCTCACCTGCACCATTCAGAGAAAGTTGGTAGTCCCAATAATGGACCTGGACACACATGACAGTGGTTGGTTCAAGTGTGACTTGGTGAGAGAATGGGTGGCATGAATGAGAGTCTGTGAAACCAAATTATCCAACTCATCTCCCAAATCAACTCCAAGAATTCCAACAGGAGGTCATTAGATTTTGAAGGAACTCATGGAGTTTCCTCTTGAGACCCTGTAGCTGAGCCAACTGTAGCTGGTACAACAGCCTATTCAAGTTTGGGACAGCTGCAGATGTAGGTTTGTTGAGACTTTCCCCCCAAAGTCCAGGGAAGCTGAGAGACTGAATACAGAGGTGGAAAAATCCAGTTTCTTAGAAATGAACAGTTAATAGGCACTTAGGAACAGAAGTCATGTCTATGTCCAGGGCAGCAGCAAGATAATGGTGGATTCCTGCACCATTTTCCCCCAGACTCAGAGCTTATATGACATAGGAAAAGAGTATTCGTGATTCAAAATGGTTGTGTAGGACAACTGCATAAGTATAACATTAAGGTTGATTGACCTAAGGGCAGGATTTGCAGCAAGTATATGCTCTTACACACACACACACACACACACACACTTACACATACACACACCAGTAGAAAAAATAGAGATCTTAGAGGCCTTCCTGGAACTGGAGTTAATCAGAAGTCAGCATGGTGGATGAGCATCCAGGATGGAGTTGCTTTAGCCTCCACAAGGTTGTAAGAATATATGGTGGTATTTTTCACTTTTACAGAAAAAGGACTGTCCCCTGTTAAGCATCAAATAAAATTTACTCCTGTTTGTATATTCAGACAGTAATTTTATAACAGAATCATCCTGAGGTATGTAAAAAAACAATATATGAAATGTTGATAGTGAGGGAGACTGTCCATACGTGTGTGTGTGTGTGTGATGGGGAGGTCATATGAGAACCCTAAACTTTTTGCTCACTTTTGCTGTGAACTTAAAAAATGGCTCTAAGCCGGGCTTGGTGGCTCAGCCTGTAATTCCGCGCCTTTGGGAGGCTGAGGTGAGTGGATTGCCTGAGCCCGCGGGTTTGAGACCCACCTGGGCAACTTGGTGAGACCTCATCTCTACAATAAATCAAAATCAGCCGGGCATGGTAGCCTGTAGTTCCAGCTACTTGGAAGGCTGAGGCGAAAGGATCACTGGAGCCCAGCAGGTCGAGGCTGTGGTGGCGGGGAGCGGCCACTGCACTCCAGTCTGGGTGACAGAGTGAGACTTCAACGCAAAAAAAAAAAAAAAAAAAGGCTCTAAATAATAAACTCTATTATAAATAACTTATGAAGCTTTTCACTCTTAACAGACTTAACTATAAGATTGCGAAGCCAAGTTCCTGATAGCCAGGTGCAGAAAGTATATCCTTTTTTATCTTCTTCCCTCCTGGAAAGATTTTTGTCAGATGAAAATAGACATTCAATGCTTTTCAGCAACTAAGTGGTAGACTTCTGCCACATTTTGTCATTGTTTAAAAAAAAAGGAATTCTAGTATGCATTTATTTCTGGGGATGAATCATACCCCAAATAGCCAATCACTCAGAACTACAAAGTTTCAGTTGTTACAGATAGCACTTGACAGCCAATAGTGCTGTATTCGTTTCCTGTGGCTACTATAGCAAGTTACCACAAACATGATGGCTTAGAAATTTATTCTCCTCTGTTCTGGAGGTCAAAAGTCAGAAATCAATCAATTTCAGTGAGCCAAAACCAAGGTGCTGACAGGGCAGTGCTCCCTTCAGAGGCCCTAGGAGAGGAGACTTCCCTGCCTCTTTCAGCTTCTAGAGGCTGCCGGCCTTCCTTGGTTTATATCTACATCACTTTCTCCTTTTCTGTGTCAAATCCCCCTCTTATATGGACGCTTGTAATTGTATTTAGAGCCCACCTGGATAATCCAGAATCATTTTCACATCTCCAAATCCTTAATTTGATCACATATGCAAAGACTCTTTTTCTTTTCTTCTTTATTTTATTTTTAAGTCGGGATCTCACTCTGTTGCCCAGGCTGGAGTATGGCATGATCATGGCTCACCACAGCCTCAATTTCTTGGGCTCAGGTGACCCTCCTGCCTCAGCCTCTCGAGTAGCTAAAACTACAGGTGTGCATCACCAAGCCCGGCTAATTTTTAATTTTTTTTTTTTTTTGTAGTGATGAGGTCTTGCTTTGTTGCCTAGGCTAGTCTTGAAATCCTGGGCTCAAGCAATCCTTCCACCTCAGCCTCCCAAAGTACTGGGATAACAGGCATGAACTGCTGAGTCCAGACTCTTTTTCCCGTATGAAGTAACTTTTGCAGGTTCCAGGGATTAGTTCCTTTAGGGGTCTATTATTTATCCAATAACAGGTGCTAAGGAAAGTCTTGCTCTGCCAGTTGAAAGACTGCATTTCTCATTATCAATTAGCCTAGTGAAACGATTCTTGTGTAGTATATTTGTGAGGTCTCTTTCTCTATTTCACATTTGTTTTAGGATTTAAGTTCCTTGGTCATTTTCAGTGTGTTGTCTCTGTGCAGGCGCCCAAGTGCAGGTGGCCTGGGTTTTGTCTCTATATCACATTTTCCCCCATATCCAGTGTCCCAGAGTAAAAAGCACCAACAGCTGCATATGTTGAACTTATTTAATCCTTGCAACGGTCTGTGATGTAGGAACTACTATCCTCTACATTTGATAGATGTGGGAAACTGAGGCACAGAGAAATTCAATCCAGAGTTCACACTTAGAGTCATTATCCACGCTGACTCTCTGATAATGAGTCCTCTTAACAACCCTATTGGGTAGGTACTACCATTTTTTTCACTTTACAGACGAGGAAACTGAGGCAGTGGGAAGTCAGTAGAGCTGACAGATTCTAAAGCCTGTGCTCCTCACCACTGTTCTTAGCATGGCTACTGGGACCCAGTTTTTCCTTTTCACTTCCATAGTTTATATTGTGCAAGATTCACCTCTGACATCAGACCAGACACCAAAGGTACCATTTCCATCAGGCCTACAACAAAAATGTACTTCAACACAAAATTGAGAAAAAGGCCAAATATCTTTTAAAGGCACATTATTTTGCTGTAAGAAAAAAATGGAATGTTTTTAGGTTATCAGATGAACAAGATAAACCAATAGGACTGCACTCCAGCCTGTTTTTGTTTGAAAACCAAAGCAATTTAGTAAAACAGGTTTAGGATGCTATTCCTTTGAGGCCTTGTTTAATCATTAGAAAAGCAAAGAGAGGAAAGAGAACATCAGTATAACCAGAGAGATGAAAGGGTCTACCCTTTAATGTGCAATTTACTTACATAAGATTGTGTTCATAATTAAGAAATGTCACTTTTACTAAGCATGGAAAATTCTAGCAGAAAGTAACTGGGTTTTGGGAATTGGATGGACCTAGTTGGAATCTCAAGTTTCCAGCATATTAGCTTTGAGACTTTGGATAAGATGCCTCACTTCCCTGAAGCTCAATTAACTCATTAGTAAAATAGGTTGGGGGCTTTAGAATGGCATAACTCATGTCTGGCACTTGAAAACGGAAGCTTGTATCATTCTAGTCCATGCTGAGGTCCAAGCAAATGTGTCCACAATTAGACCTAATGTCACTGACCTCATGTCCTTTTTACTCTTTGAGGAAAAATTGTGCTTCCTTTTTATCACTGGGATATAATAAGAACAGACACATCTTAAGATACTTTGATCAAAGGAAACTTTGTTCTCTGCACCAACATTTCTGTTTTCTGGCATTTCTTTTAAGACCATCTGCAGTAGATTAGGGAATTAACAACAATAAGAGGGTTTTTCTGGTGGGAGTGGGACAGGGAGACTGGTGAGGTCAGCCCAGAATCACTTTGGGAACTGCTACGTTAGTGCATGGTATTAAATAAAGAGTGGGTGACAATATGCAGCCACACATCTGTAGGTAAGTCCTCTGGAGGGAGTTTATGATGTTGTGGTGGCGCTATTCTCCTGAGTGGTTGGTTGATGGAACATTCCATCCTTTATAGCCTTTGCAATCACCAACAACCACATACTACTCCCTTCCCAAGGGCTGGGTGATGCCCAAGGAGGTGCTGCATTAGAAAATGGTGCTGGCGCTAGAACAAGCCAAGAGATAGTAAGAAAGCAAAGTCTGTTACCTGTTGGCTCAGTCCAGTTGGGTGGATGGAGCCTGGCATGGCCAATCAGTAACTCCTTCCATCTGTGATTATTTTGCCATATACAAACCAATTTTACATGTTTGACTTCATTCAGTTCAGGCAACCATGCTGTACAGTGAGTGGGGCAGTGATCACTGAACTCATTTTACACATGAAGACAAGGCTGGGGCAGTAACGGGCTCACCTGGGCACATACACAACAGAGGAAACAGGAGGGTGAGGGCTAGAATTCAAGTTTTTCTGTCGGGAAGGCCATGTGTCAGCTAGGATTAGGCGGGACTAGAAATAGTCCATAGATATGTCAACAAAATAGAAGGTACCCAGGCCGGGCATGGTGGCTCATGCCTGTAATCCTAACTTCAGGAGGCCAGGGTGGGAGGACTGCCTGAGCCCAAGGATTCAAGACCAGCCTGGACAACACGGCAAGACTTCATCTCTACAAATCCAAAAATTAGCCAGGTGTGGTGGTG